ACAGTATATATGCATAAATATACACTATAAATATATAAATTATGTAAAAGTGTGGGAGCAAACATTTGGCAACAAAAATAACTCACTTCCGCCTTTTGGATAAGGATATGCCTCGTCGCCATGTATGTACACGCCACCGCAGTAGTCCGGACAAATGAACATGGTATTAAACCACACATGTCCCAGTTTCTCTCGATCTTTCTGCAGAGATCAGCAAAAAATGAATCAACTGCCTAACATCAAAAGAACGATAAACCAGACAAACTATATCTCTTACCAGCGTCCATCCAAGGCCTTTGAACCATTTTTTGGTGTAGAGGTCAATGCGAACATCGCCTTCGACGAACACCCTCTTTGTTGCTGGCACAGTCCAACCATAGCATCGCCTGGCAACCGATGCAATTTTTAGAAACCGACATCATTAGAGAGAGGCTTTACAAAAGAAAAACCAAGGTCCATTTATGCCTACACTTTTGAAGCAGTAAATCAAGTGTCCGAGTGCGCAACCAGTTAGCAGCACTGTGCACAAAGTGCAGAAGGAAGCTGACACTTATTGTGTGTTTTTCATGCGACATTTGTGATATTCTCGTCACTGGTGAGAAAAGACAAGCACCAATGGCTGTACCGAAACGAAAAACAGAGCCGATGTAGCCCAGGTAATCTACGAATGATCGTACTAAAGAAAAAGCACATCGTCATGCAAGTAGCGTGTGCGATGATGCTATGAGTATCACCACTTGGAAAATATGCAGTACGCTTTGTTCAGTTTGTGCGCCAAATAATGATATACAATGGAAGGAGCTGCTCCTCAAATGGACATCCGAAATGGAATGCGTACTTTGGCATATAAGGTGGGGACAAACTGTAGACACGCAGCAATTCGGAAAGAAGGACCTGCAAAGCTGCGCCCGGCATGAGGATGCTTTTCGAAAACGCTACACCAACATCTTGCACGATTCTGAAGTCCCTGTCAGGGGTGCGTCATTATTTCTCATATTTTTAACTGAATATAATGCAGCAGAGGTAAACACCACGGCACTTACAAAGCCTCTGGCTTTATCCGAGCCCCAGAATCCTGCCCAATCCTAATACCATGGTAATAATGCATAGCACTTCAGAAAATGACGGGAAAAAGAGGCAAAAAAAAAAAACTCATTAAAATCAATTTACACAGCAGTTTAAAAAATTCAGTTAAACGGAAAAAAACACGGAACCACAATCTGTATCTGGCAACTTGCACTTCCTGCTCAGTTAAATTCGGTGCATCTTAAACTGACAATACCGAGATGTCCATGCAAGAAAACCTACTGCATTCAAAGGCTACGTTA